TAACACACGTTGTGGCCTGCTGATAGCAATACAGTATCGTCAACCAAAAGCCACTTTGGCGATTATCTTTGATCTGAAAGGGAGATCAAGTATTAAATACAAATGTTCTCATTGTGCTCCTGCCCTCTTAGGAAGCAAAAGAAATGCTTCTTTGCTGAAGAGTCAGATCATCTGATTTGTTTCACTTTTCCCTTTAACACCCAAACATGTCTCTCCTCAGAGAGGATTTCTGAACATCTGTATAGCTGTTTAATTTATTCCAGCTTTTTTCAGTAAGACGGATCAATCCTACCACAGCTCAGCAAATCACCAGCATAACCCAAAATCAGGAGGGCTTCAGAGCGTGCAAACACCAAGACGCTGCCATTAGGCTAAGCATTATCAATTTAACTTTGCTTCCCTGGGGGGTACAATAACAAGTCACTGCCGAGAGAGGGGGTGATGAAGCGTCACAGTCACAGTACATTCCCAGGGCCATAACAAAGTCATTTGTTGCTAATTTTTCTGAAAATCACTCAGCTGCATTTTCTAACCTAATTTTTATTTTTCCATGGAAAATTTTCTTTTCCTTACGGCAACGGCCATTGGACTGATCAGTCCTCTGAAAAATGTAGATATTTCTAGCAAAAGTCCTTTCCGCCTAGGGTAGGTATGGCATTAAATGTATAACGTTAATACATGAGGGTTTTCTTTGCAGGGTTTTTAAACTCACTGAGCTGAAAACGGAAGTAGCTAATCACTTGGCAATGCTGGAGAAAAAGGTTGAATGTGAGTCCCCCTTTCTTTGTATCGCAGTGGGAACCGGTGCCTCAGGACCCGCTGGCCCCGCCGCCCCTGTTGTACCCCTGCCCTGTCCCACTGCGACGGTGGGGAGGGACGCGTGGCATCCGGGGGGGCCCTTTTGAGCAGTAACACAACCGTATCCAGTTACTGTGCAACAGCCAAGTGAAGTTCAGCTGGTCAAGGAGCTCCTTTTCTGGTTTGGGGGTTTTTTTTCCCCCCACTTGCAGCATCTGGCTTGCTGTTTTTCAGTATATTGTGCAGAACACAGGTCCCAGAAAGGCAGGGCAGGGGTATGAATAAGGCACTGTCACACAGCACCGTTTTGACACCAAAGGCCACATCCTCGCAGATTCGCAGCATTTAGGTCACGAGCGGGAAGAGTCTTCCCCGGCACTACAGCTGCAGCAAGCACTTTCTCACTAGAGCTGGCTGGAAAAAACAGTTTCTGGTTCATGGAAGAAGTTGCTTTCTTGAAATTCCCCCTGACCAGAAGCTACCTTGACCCTGCAGCTGCTCAGTGAGACTGATGCCTTTGTCAGCAGGGAGAGGGGAAAAAAAATGTCCTTATTCAAAGAGCAGCTGCAGGGGAACCTCTCCCTGAGGCCACCCCAGCCCGCAGGCTCCTGGTGGGGTGGGAGAACGTCCAGCAACGTCCGTGGAGGGGGCACCCTGCCGCGTGCCTGCCCCCCAGCACGGACCTCTGCAAGGAGCCCGGGTGGCAATCCCTCCCCGTCTTGCTCCCCCAGCGCTCCACTGGTTTATTCTTTTGTCCAAAAGAAAAAAAGAAAAGGGGGAAAAAAAAAAAAAAAGAAGAAGAATTAGCTCGCTCACTCTGCGTTTTCTGTGAAACTTCTGACCAAATCCAGTCCTCAGGGCTAAGCACCATGGACTAGAGCAAATGCGGCAAGCGTTCCTGTGGGTCTTCCTATCCCCTTGGCAGCCCAGGCGAGAAACTATCCCAGCCAGCTCGGGGCTGCTTTCGGCTGCTGGCTCCCCTGATGACGCCCTGGGATCCCTGGCTGCACCCTGCGCACACGCTGCCTTTCAGCACTGGCAGCCCGCGGCAGTGGAGGGAGATAATGAAGATTTGCGCGTAGCTGCCAGCGGTGAAGGGTTGTGCGCTTGTACTCGCCAGCACTTTATTGCTGGTTTAGGGAAGGCAGCCTACCCAGAGCTGCCGTGCCGTGCGGGTGAACTGAATTCACTGGTCCCCAGAGGAGGCTTCTCTCTGTAAGTGGGTCTCGACGCTGGTGGAAATAGCAGCAGACGTAGCAATCTGCTGTCATTCTGCCTGAGCGCTCGCGATCCCGTCTCCAGCATCCTCAGCCTGTGGGAAGGAGCTCCCTGGGTTGCCTGTCTACAAGTGCACCCATCTGCTCGAAATTGGACTTCCAGAATTTGCAAGACAGCCAAATCTGCAACATTTTGAAATAATCCCAGGCTTTCATGTTTAAAAAGGAACACTGTGAGAGAAAGGGAGTGTCCAGCCCCAATACTTGAGCTGGGCTCCCAGGGGCTGCTTTAAGAGACATGTTTCAGTGCTGGATTCAGCCCAAGGATATCTTTAGACAGCACAGGGTCTTTTCAGAAGGTATTTCTTGCTGCAGAATAATATAATGGGCCCTTAATCAGTGCACATGACAAGGCCATTTATCATTTGCGAGCCAAATGTGAAAGGAACTGTGCTTTTGTTTTGCCTTTTCTCCTACCTCATTTGGAGATCCCTTTTCCACCACTTTCACATGAGATCTCCGGGATTTCTTCCCCAGAGGTGACGTGTGTGTATGGAGAAGTCCTCATGACAGTGCTACATCTGCACCTCACATAAAACATTCTCAGGTACCTTCCCGTTACTGTCTAGAGACAGCATCACAGAGATGTGTTTTCAAGGAGCTAAATCTTTTAACTGATTTTTAAATCCCATCTAAATCTTGTGACTTCCCCTTGGAAAATGAGTCCGTTGCAGGGCAAGCACTGGGACTGCTTTGTCCCGTGGCTTGACTTACTTTGCCCCAATGTTCACACAGCAGCCCACACATGAATAAGGAAGCTGGCAAAAACCCTTTACAATTTGTAAGCATCTCACATCTACCTTAAGAAAATAATTATGTAAATTCTCTGCTCCCCTGGAGAGATTTTGGAAGAAAACTAAAGAGATGCAACAGGAAAAAATGCTCAGGGCTGCCATTTTGCACCGTTACTCCTCTCCTCTCTGCCGTTGCCTGCCCCAGTACCCTGTCAGTCTGATAACTCTACTTTGCTCCTACTGCTTCAGATAGGCACTGACTACCGTTTAGACAGCTTGGCAAATGGGCTACCCGTGAGCTTCTCCTCGACGAATGCACCGGGGTGGAACATAGCAGCATAGGGCCTTTGGGTCCAGTGCAACTGATCATTGGCAGTTGAACCGAGTACCCGAAAAAGTGCAGCCAGATATCCAGAATGAAGATATTGAATAAGCAGCACAGCATCTCGCCTGCGTCATCACTTTGTTACCACCCAAAGAAATTACTTTTAAAAATGCTAGACAAAAAGACAAAAAAAAAAAAAAAAAAAGGCAAAAAAAAATCTGCAAATAGGATTTTGAAGTGGAGGGTATCCCTGTGATCTAGCATAAATCAAAACCCTTTTCCTTTCGTCCCCTAATATGCAGTACTTTGGACTCAGTTCATATACCTGTCTATTTTTCCCCTTTCCCTGTTCCAGTAGCATTCTTTGTTGTTACTAGCATAAAGAAAACAAAATTCAGATCTCTTCTTATCTATAGAGTTGTGCCCTTCCAAGGCAGTTTTTCATCACTTACACGCTACCCTCCAGATAAGTGTGATTTTGGCTATTATTTTCTAAGAAAGTGACTGAATACTGATTGTGCGATTGCACATTGCCTGGAGTTCCCTGAACCACAGCTTGTCCGTGCAAACAATGAGCTCAGTAAACAAATGAGCTGTGAAATGATCCCACGTGAATGACATGTGCTTAATAAATGGGCCTGTATTATGTCCTTGAGCATGCTGATAGTTCAATGAAAGGGAAAGAAAAGGGAGAATATTCTCATACTTGCACTGTGTTAGGTTCTCACGGCTACGTGGAATGAAGTGCATTGCTGCATAAACAGGCAATCAAACTGTTTGCCTTGTGGCTCTCATAATTACATACAGAAGGGGGATATAGGATTTTTTGTGCCACATGCAGAAATAGCCTTTGATTACAGAATTGATAGGCAAAAAGAAGTGACAGATCTCCAATACCTAAAAAACCCTGAAATCGATCATTAGAGCAAAACTTTTCAACATTCCTCTCTCTGTCCTGCATTCTCACTTTGGTTTCTCTGTATCTCGCAATGCCTCTCGGAGCTCCTTAATGCTCTGCATGAACTTTCAAATTAAAACCTTTTATCTTAATGGGAATTCTAATCCTACTGGGATGTGTTTGCCTAGCTGTGCTTATCATCGCATCATGGGAGCTTTTTTTTGCTCAGGATTTCCTTTGATTCGTGTTCTACAGCACAGAAGTGAAGGCACCAGAGCAGCTGACTGCTGCTAACAGTCATGGAAAAGCTGAGACGCTGTAGCCATTCTGTGAATTAAAATACTGTAGCTATTATCTAAAATTGGCAGCAGAGAATTCCTGTGGGTTTTCAAGATATATCGCTTTGGCAGCACCTGCATATGTGAGAACCGGGGCAGACTCAGAGAGTTTGCTGGCTCACTGGATAACCCCACTGTTGAAGCCCTTTGAAATTTTGCACAATTGTGAAACAAGATCCTTCGACTTTCGCCATGGTAACACCCCTGTTGTTTTCCTTTGTTGACAGTGGAAGGCCTGAAAGTGGTGGAGATTGAGAAATGCAAGAGCGACATTAAAAAGATGAGGGAGGAAATGGCAGCAAGAAGCAGCAGGTAAGTTCTGCTTTGGAACTAACCAAAGAAATAAGCATCTGGTTTCAAACCCTAATGCAACATTTCCGCAGAACTGAGTTACCTTCTGGGCTTAGAAGTATAGGAGCAAGGAAACCAATAACCATTAAGGACAGTGGCTTTAATTTAGCATTTGAAGAACTGTAGCCATTCATCAGTTAAAATAGCTCGGGCCATGGGAATAGAGAAAAAGGTCTTGAAGCAGAGAGTTATTTTCACCATACAGAATGGGAATTCTTCATCCAGATTTACTGGGAGAGAGGGAATGGGAAAAGAACTCCTGCATAGTGCAGCGTTTGGTTTGGAACCAGCTAATGCTCAAATCAGCTCAAATATATTCTGGGAAAATATCAAATAAATATGTAGCAGCTCTTCTGATTATGATCTCATGCTATTATAAAACATCCATTTCAAATTCAACAAGAAATTGGGGATTTGCTTTCTAATTCAAGGTTTTACTGTGATTGTGAAGCTTGGTTTCGCTGTAATTAAAACAGCAGAAAAAATTGCATTTTGTACGATACATAGTCTCAGCTGGAAAGTATGCCCCCTGTGTCACTGAAATACCCCGTCAGGACAAACAAATCATCACTATGAGATTATGGATGCTTCTGGGAATGCTGCTGAAGAGGGATATACCACGCTGCTCAAAGTGTGGGTGAAAAGGTATTTTTCTCAGCAAATGTAACTACGTTATCTTGACAGCCTCTCTCTTTCTTTTCTTCATTTGGGGTCAACTTCTCTGACCCTTAATCAAAGCTATTTCCTATTGAGGGCAATGGGAGATTTGCTAAAAGAATTAGGCTTTATAATCACTAGCTTTTATAATTTTTTCTGTCCAGATATGTCAGAAGGCACAGTGCTAATACATTCCTATTAAGTCTAAGGCCAAATTCAGCTGTCATGCCAGCACAGAAGAAAAGTAATGTTATTAACCTCAGATCTGCTCCAGATTTATACCACTAGGATGGATTGCAGTTTGCCCTGCAGCTTGCACCATTTCTTGTTCAGGTGTGTGAGGAAATCTCATTAGAAAAATCGGAGCTCAGGTTGACAGCAAATGCAGAAACACGTACGCTGATTTGTGCTGGGTATGATGTGAATAATATGTGTGTCCATGCATGTGTCTTTAATTTTCCTCAACTGTTGTAAGGAACTGGGAGAGCTGCATTTACAAACATAGGCAGATAGGGAATTAAAACAAAAAAAAAGAAGTTATGGCAACTTCACACTCACCCAGTTGCCACCACACACATCAGGAAGTACAAGACTGTCCCAGCAGCAGCCATGACTCATTCCTGTCCCAGATCTTGTCGCTTTACAATCTATACTTTGTAGTATAAACAGCAATCTGTTAACAAGAAAAACAGGAATGACGAGTGCTATGTCTGCCCAGTGCAGCCAGCTCCAGCTGAGGTGCAATCTTCACTGAAGGCTTGTAGTGAGATAGGACAGCTGCCAAAAGCCAGAGACCAGAATGGAGCGTGATGCTGGAAAGCTGTGGTAAAAACCGGTGCAGTGCTCAGCAGCAGGGAGTGCTGGGCACAGATGCCCAAGCTATCTTGCTCTGAGATCACGCTGCATAGCTGCTTTCGCTGAAGCAGGAGCCTAAGCTGCTCTGCTCAGCATCAGACGGTGTCATATTGATGTGACAGCTACCTGTCACAGCTCTTCTTGGTTGCCTTGAGCTGGGTCTTCCTCATCCCAGCTGCACAAAAGCCCCTCCTTCTTGCCCAGAATTCTGCGCATGATTATCTGTATCCTAATGGCTTGGGTCTCAAAGCAGCAGCTAGATGTGGCTAGGTTCAGTGATAACCAGGGGTGGCTACAAGTCACCTCTTTTTGCTATAAGAGTGAGGAGAGGATGCTCCTTGGTGGCCATCCATTAAGAAGGTCCCCATCGGGAGCTGCTGAGGAGGGAGCTGTGGTTCCCTACTGCCGAGTGACCATGACTCGGCAGGAGACATGCCACTAGCCCGCACTGACCCCAGCCTAGGGATGCTTCACCCCAGAGCAGCTGAGCAAGCTCTGTCCTATTGGCATGAGGTATGTGCATGCTGTGGGGGGAACAGAGGCATCCAGGGCAAGTGGAAATGGTTTTGCTCCTATTTAAACTTGTCATCCCTTGTGCAATGTCATTTGCTAGATAATGAGTTACAGTTGCAATTAGGGATCACGTCTAAATTCAATTAATGTACATAAGCATGTGTGAATGCATATATTCCTTCAATAACACCACAGTGTACACAGCTGTATTCTTGTATGTTTACATATTCTATCACTTGCTGTTACATTACCAAACAACAGAGTAAGGACGAAGCACCCAGTTTATGGAAGTAATCACGCACAGTGAATTGTGCAGCTCTCCACTTCAGAAGAGCGAAGCAGCCCTGCTTGCACCCCCTCAGATTGCTTTTGTTGCTAGTGTGCTTTTTGCACTCACCACTGGCAGATGCTAATAACATTATAGTGTCATTTAAAATCATGATCGTTTGCAGATACAGTTTTACATTTGCAAAGGTCTGATGCGTCCTGGCTCTGGTGTGTTCTCCAATGTGGCAGGATGCAGGCTTCGATGTCTTACTGCAGCTGGGAATTAGACATAGTTGGCTGACTCTCAGCTAACCCTGGCAGCCAGCTCCAATTAGGACAAGGAATGCCCCAATCACACTATTTTTATCCTACTAATACCCCTCACAGTGGAGTTTTGAGGAAACAGCTTTAGAAACTATTTATACAGCTTTTCACCAACTGAGGATCTGCTTAAACAGGGTAGGAAAAGGCAGCTGGTTGAAGCCAGCTGACCACCATGAACCGTGAGATGACATAACTTTTTGCAGGATTCTGACAACACCATCAGAAATGATAGCAAACATCAATGTTAAGAGGAGGAAACAAAAGAGACCCAGACCAATTCCCAACAGAGAAGAGAAGCACTAGAAAGAGCTGCAATACATAATACGTGAAAGAATTTTAAAAGGGACAAATAAAGCTAATGGAATACTTTGGTTGGCTTCTTTTGGGGGTTTCTTTTAGCTTCATTTGGCAGAAGGCCTGAAAAATGAGAAAGGATAATCCAAATTGTAGGACTACAGGGATAAATGCAAAATGCAAGCAGATCAACCTCACATGAGAGCTGTGGTCCACGTGACCAACTACTTGGGAAACGCGGGTTGAGTTAAGATACCACTATTGCCAAGGGTGATACCACAGAGCTCTTGGCTTCATTGTGCCCCCCGCGGGTGCAAGGCAAGAAACTGCTCTCGCACTGCAATGCAGCAACCTCGACGTTCTGCAAGGGCCGTAAGGCTGGTGTGCACCTCCCACCATCATGGTCCTCTGCTCGGGCGGGATAGCATCAGCTTGGCTCTGCTGCATGCAGAGGAAGGAAGAGCAGATAACTGGCAGTGGGTGCTGGTGTTACTAACCAGGCAATTGCTGTAGTTGCTGGCAGTGACTCCCTTCCTCCGGGACCGAGGAGCCAAGCGGACTGTGTCTGCCGAGTCTGTGCCTCACTGCTGTTGTCCCGCCTGAAGGGCAGCGAGCAAGCTGGTCTCGCTGTCAAAACGGATGGTCTTACCCAAGCTTTTATGAGGCCTGGAGCTGGGCTGCAGTAAGCCATGGGCTCAGTGGGCGCCTACGCTATAAATAAGCACAGGCGTGGATGCATAGTGGACAGCTATGCCTGCCACGGACTGCAAGCTGCTCGCTGACAAGAAAGTTACTTGGTTTAAACGGAAGTGATTGGGTACCCATGGATACATGCCTGAAGACGGACACTGCTTGCTTGCATTCTAATAGACAGAAAAGGGGCGACAGCGGTGTTGCACAAGGGGAGAAAATCCTAAAGGCACTCACACTTTTAAAGCATTTGTGCAGCACAACATTGGAAAGTGAGAGGCTGGGAAGCGGGGTAATTCTCTGAGCCGTGCCTACTGACAGACCAGGGTACTTCCAGCATTTTTTGAGGCCCTGTGGTTCCGTTCCCACAACGTTAAGAGCTCAGTATTTCATTTCAGGACTAACTGTCCCTGCAAGTACAGCTTTTTGGATGAAAACAAGAGGCCGACTCCCCGGCGGGACGTACCATCCTACCCAAAGGTATCACACAATATTTGCTCTTCCCAGAGTTCTGCTACATGCTTGCCATCCTGACAAGTGCTGGTTTACAATGCATGGCTCCCTAACCATCTCCCTCCTACTTACTCTCAGTGCAGGACCTGATCCAAAATCCCTGAAAGCCAACGGAAAAAGCTGTCATTGCCTGTGGTGACTTAGAGTTGGATCCTCAGTAGTCTTTAATACTTGAAAGCTCATTAGTGTTTGAAATGTTAATGAACATTTTGCGTTCGTGAACATTAATGCTCTTTTATCTAGTTCTATTTGTTTATTCTCCATGCTCGTAGCAAACAATCGAAAAATAGCCTATAATGCTGTACTCTAATTGAAAATAGTGCTGCTGCCTGTTTTCTCCTAATAGATTATTTTTTAATTTAAAAAGTAATTTATGGGGATGTTTCACTTAGGGAAACAGAGAGAAAATGTGACATTGGATTCTCTTCAGAATGATTTATCATCCCTGTGAAAATGAGTGCATTTGCTAGAGATAACAGTAATGCTTGAAGAAAAATGTCTACTGGCCAAGTACAAGTACAAATCCACAGTGATGAATGAGGCTGAAACCATGAAGCACACAGGATTTTTGGTCCTAGCACTGGCAGTCTTTGCCCACAGGAATTATTCAAAGCTACCAGGTTACGTCTGCTCAGTGCCCAGCTCACACCTTGGCAAAACACCAGCTCACACATGTGCAAATCATAGTTTAACAGAGGGCATTTTCTTGCACACATCAAAGCTGGCTCAGCCACCCCGAAGTTCACGTGGTCCCGTGTGATGCAGGTGTATGATATGAACACGCATCCTTGCATATTTGTCTTCAGAGCCCAGAGCAACGAATTATAAGTTCTGCTGTTTATTCTGCTGCGCCTAGCAAAAGTGTACTCTAGGTCTCTGAAGCAGACATCGTGAGGGTTACATTTCTTTTAACTAACTTTTGCCCAGGAGCCTTGTGCTCCTGACACTAACACATGTTTTTGCAAGGCTTATCAGTTCTATACCAGATTTTTTTCCCTTGATAAGTATATATGTCAGATCAAACTTTGATGTACTGTTATGATATTGGGATCTTGAATTAACAACAAGCAGTATGAAGAGTTGTACTGACTGACTGCAGAGAAAACTGGTAGTCTGTATTTCTGTATTATGCCTAGACCAAAGCTCATACAAGTTTTGGTTTTAGGAGTTTGGGTTCTGTTTGATGGATTTGCAAAATTTGTTATCAGTTGTCAGGTGCTAGATTTGTCCAATGTCAGTGAGGCTAGGAAGTGATGAGTTCACTGAAAGAAGATATCATTACTGTGCTGGTACGAAATAACAAATCTGTACTGCTAATTCACAGTTTTCTTGCGGAAAGTCATATCAAATGTACATTATATATCAAAATGCAAAAATCATTGCCTTCTCAAGAAGGAAAATTAATCTTCAGTGTTATTCTTCCCTGGATTAAGTATCAACAATTAGATGGCTCAGAAAATTTCATTCACCTGCTCCGTACAGTAAGCCCAAACTAATTAGAGACAGCCATGGTAAATGGGCCAACTGAAGCTACAAGGTTTTTGTGTCCCAGAGAAGACTCTGATCAATAGAGTCTTGAAAAGATGAATCAGTAGAGTCCAGATCTCCCCTAGTCTTTTAACCCTCCACATTCCTTTTTTTCATTTTGTGTACAAATTGTAACTGGCTGATGAGCCCTCTGAGAATAATGATTAGAAATCACTTGAATCTTGCAGGCTGAGAACCAATTTGAGAATGTGGGCGTTCTTGAAAAAATACTCAAAATGAGAGCATAAATCACCTAAAAGTAAATATATCATACCCACCAGCTAATTTAATACTGTAAGCATAGACACCTCACACCAGCCAGCCGTGACTGGCTGCACTGAATGTCACTGATCCTCTGCAGGCAGCAGAACCAGCACAGCTGGGGACAGATCTGTGCCCTTTGTATCCCCGTGCTGGATTTACCCACAACCCCACCTGTAACACCTCTGCTCTCCTCTCTCTTCTCCCAAACCCTCCACCTCCCTGTTCTGCAAGGATCTCCACCGATCAGCAGCCTGCCCGCTGGTGCTGCAGCAGGCAGCGAGCTGGCGGGGGGCTTGCTGCCTGCCAGGCGCGGGCATCCTTGTGTGGCTACGAGCAGCCTGTGAGGAGGGTTTGGCAGGCAGAGGGAGAGATCAGTTGCTCTCTCCTTGGGAAAAATAGCTAAACCCTGTGTGAATGGAACCCCAGGAGTCCCAACAACATGCCAGTAGCAGATCCTGCGCCAGGGTAGGGGACCCTTACTTCTGCTGACTGCCTTTTCGCCCGCAGTACATGCTGTCCCAGGAGACCATTGAAGCACTTCGGAAACCAACCTTTGACGTCTGGCTGTGGGAGCCCAATGAGGTAAGGGTGCCATGTTAGCTGGGTTAGCACTCTTTCTGAGAGCCAACAAGGCCAGAAGCGCTCTTTGAGGTGGTCTGCAGGGTTTTTCCTCTTTTCTACCTCTCACTCTCTACACTTTTTTCATTTTCATATCACACCAGAATATGGTACTTTTTCCTAACAGATTCCAGATAGATTAGGCTGATTATCATATCCTGAATCCTCTATTTTTTCTTTAATCTCTTCCGAGTAATGTCCCACAACAACTGGTACACCATCATTACTGCCACATGAGTTCTCTCACGCCATTTTATCTGAACAAATCGATCCCTAGCAAAGTGTATGCTTAAGCACATCATCAATAACTCTGTGGAAATCAATAAAGCAGCATGCTGCTGTGTGAAGCCAGGCAGAAGAGCATGCATTGATTCACAGCCTTTTAGACAAGGGCTTTTCTGTGGTGTATTCTGAAGAGGTTGCATAGCTGCGTGCACAGCCTATTAGTATTTTCTACTTGCTTCATTTTCTTATTTTTCTTATTTCTATTAGTATTATCCATTGTGCATCACTGGTGTTGCAGAAGGTTCTGGAAGGCCCATGTGTAAACCTCTGTAGAAACATGACAGAGAGGGATGTATCTGTAATGGCCAGCTTACAATATAATGTAAAACTAGCAAATACAAGCAAATCTCACCTAGGAAAAACATAAGGAAGAACAGGACTAAACCAGGATTTTAGTGTTGGATTTTTCCCAAGGGAACGATTGGGTGGTTCTAGCAGCATCTCCAGCAGCAATCACCTTAATTGTCTTCTCAGTCAGGTGTTGTGCATACAAGAGTCGTTCTGGCTCAGCACCTGTAGATCAGCATGACAAGGAAAAATACCCCATACCCCACCCACGGTAACAGCGTATTTCCTTCAAGATATTGGATCTGGCTGGTAGAGTAACAGAAGGACTCTGGTGGCTTGAGGTCCGTCTCCCACTCACACAGGGTGGCAGAGCTTCCCTTGTGCAGGGCATGCCAAGCTGAGGCTGGTGCTCAGCAGTTACTGCTCCCCCTCCAGCCCCTCTTTTCTGTACACCGGCCATACAACTGCTCAAGCAAAATGGCTCGCCCCCAGATTTTGAATGCCTATCAGGTCTTTACGGCAAGAGAGAATTACGACCTGCCAGGTGGACCATAACGCTGTTGGCTCATTGTTGCTCCGACTGTTAAGAAAGAATAGGGAGAGACAAAACCCATTATCCACGGATTCTTGTGTGCTGAGGCACAGTATTTTAGCACAGTAACTCATTCAGAGCACTGGGAAACACTATATGGTGGCATGAATGAGGCTAACAAGAGGGTGTGGAGATTAGGCATGCCCTGCAAGGAGGAGTGCTGCTCAGAAATAAGATACTGCACAAACTCTGGTGAGCTGAGCACCGTATGGGTTTATCTCACATTTTTATCTCTGGTTTATGTTTACAGAGAATATTTCAAACCTGTCAATGCTTGTTTAGCAATAAGCATTTGCCCATGTGCTCAATGTGGGGCAGGCAGGCAGGTTATAAACCAGAGTCTTCTGTAAGCAAATTAACAAAGTTGTTCCCTGCAGCATCTCAGTCAACAGAGCTATGCAGCGAGCTAGCGTTCTCTTTCTCAAATGCCCGTGCACTTTCAAGCCTTAGAAGAGTCGTAATATTCAAGCTTTTGCTGTTGACCAAGAAAGCTAGAAATGAAAACTGAGATTCGCATGTGTCCAGGTGCAGGAGCTTTGGGACTCAGGGTCACCCTGCCACTCACCCAAAGCTCTCTTGGGAACAGCTGCAGGGATGCAGGTATTTCTGATGGTAATTCAGCCCTTCTAGTTAAAGTTCATTGTCTTGAGAAGTCTTTTCTGAAACTGTTACAAAACATATTCTACCTCGGGGACGAGGAACAAGACAAGGTGTTCTACAGCAAAATGCTGGCCTTGTGATCTGAGCACAATTCCGGTCGTAACATTGTCCCTCCAGTCTTGCAGGAAAGTCTCTTTCTTCCTGTTCGGATGACTCAAAACCAGCCCCCTTGTTACTGTGTGAACTATGTGTACTCCCTGGATAAGTATGAAGTTTCATTAGATGAAATCATTTTTTCTGGAGAGTTTTGAAGAGCCTAAATAACAGAAACCTAACTAAAAATGTCTCCAAGGCCATATTTGTGACATTAAACTCATCACGTTAAAACTCCTGGATCAGCCTACAGTCAAAGAACTGCATCTGCTAAGATCACGGCTGCATTTCATCCCCTGCAGATTTTGGTTTCAGAAATGGGAATGCAGATACATAAACTCCTGAACTCCTGGAATTCTGTCCACTTCTCACTGGTGGCAGCTGTTAGGTGCCCAGACACCTCAGATAGTAAATACCTTTCTTTTGCGATATTTTCAAACCCAGAAGATTATCCAGGAGTGGTAGCGCTAAACTACCCGCATGCCCCTTCCTACCACAGAGCAGATGATGTCTCAAAAGAGCAGCCTGCCTTTGTGTTTCAGCTACTGGGATTCGTAGTTACAGGTTACGGGAGTGGATGGTCACAAACCTGCTGCAATTTTGTACTGCTATAACTGGAGGTTTTTTGTTAATCGAGAAATTTCAGTTAAGATAGTGGATTCAGGAATTCACAAGAAATCATAAAGAAAGAAGATGTTGACACGTATCTAGAATAAATGTTTCTTTAAGAATCTCTTATTTTCTGCTGTGATTTTCTGTACAGTTAGGGCCTGGTCCATTTCTGTACAGCTAGGGCCTTTGGAGTCAGCGGAAAAACTCCCACTGATTTCGTTGACAGTTAGAACTAATCCCAGCTGAATTAGAAAAATGGCAATACTTTTTTTTTGTGAGAGGGAACTGCTATGATACACATGAATCATAACTACTAAAGAGAGCTGGCGTGATTCAAAGCCCTGTACAAAACCTATGAAGTCAACAGCAATCTACCTACTTCAAAAAGCTTTCAGAACCTCTCTGTCTCCCCTCTTGCACTTCTTTAATCACACAATCTTTGAACATCTTTCTTTGATCTTAACAAGAGGGCTCTGCAATTATTTGATGCTTGCAAGGAGGAAATTCACTCTGCAATGTACCATAAAGTAATGTGATATTTACCAAGCCAATAATCTGTCTGTTCCTGGCTGCAGATGCTGAGTTGTTTGGAACATATGTACCATGATCTTGGGTTGGTAAAAGACTTCAACATCAATCCTATCACGTTAAAGAGGTGGTTGGTAAGTATTTCAAATTACTGATATTTGCAACTTCTCAAATTCAAAAATCAATAAACAAAATATTTAGTCATGGAATTAACTTGATTCGCATGAGTAATCCCACTGAAAGCAGTCAATCTATACAAATTCTTAAAATGTAAGTACTTCAGCAAATATTTGCATTCTTGTGGTGACATGACATTTTAAAATTTGTTTTACATTTATTTGCTGAGCTTTGTATTACTGGAAGCAGTTCATTTCTGGTGAATGCTCTTGGTGCCTGTTGTAAATGGAGACAGGATGAGTGTCTTCAGATATGGCAAAAAAAAGCCAGTATATGCAATAATCATTAGAAGTCCTAAATCATAGCAAGTAAAAAAGCAAGGCAGGAAGGAAGACGAAATGCTGAGAAGTTAAATAACTTGCTTTGTCTTGGTCTTTAATTCTGGGAGTGTTGCAGAGATGCAAGACATGATAAAGATGAGTTCATACCAAAACTCAGATGTCTAAAGAAGAAACACTGGAGTACTTAAAAATCAATAAGTTATCAGGTCCAAGGCAAAGCATGAGAAAGAATTTGCTAAAAATCTGAAGAATACATCAGCTTTCTCAGAAAAACCCATCATGTTCCTAGAGGACTGTAGAACAGTAAATATTTTACCCATTATTTAAAAAAGATCTAGGGATACCCTGAAGAACTATGCTAGTAAAACTTACATCTCTACCTGACAAATTGATTGAAATGATAATTAAAAATATCATCAGGCGAAGTTCATTATACAGATGTTTCATATGATACCTGTAGCAAAGAATTATATCTCGCTAATCTCTTCTAATTACCAGAAGATTATGAACATAATAGAGGGAACTGTTTTATACGATTGATGTAGACTCGCAGAAAGGCCTGAACAAATTCCGCAAATTCAGAAGGTGGCTAGAAAACACAAAGCAAAACACTGGATTCATCATTTCACAAAGTACAGCAAGCACCTGGGCGCCAGCGTCCGCAGGGCAGTGACCGTCACTGCTTGATGAGCTGCTGCAGGATGACACTAACACGGCATTAGGCTGATCAGAGAATGGAATAAGGGATAAAATGGACTGATGTTACCATGTCTCTGTAGAGTGCACAAGGCTTACCTGGAATTTACACTTAGCATTGGTTAATCTTTTTAGAAAAACGGAATGGCTACATTAAAGGAGATATAAATAATGATTGAAACCTAGGAAATCTCTCTCCAAAGAAGGCAGATGAAAAGCTCAGTATTGTTGACCTTAGAAAACAGCTGAACAGAAGGGGTGGGATGAAACCCAATACAATCAAGGCTAGCTCGGAGCAGATAAAACAGAAAATTTCCTCCTCCTGTCTCACAGCCCGAAAACATGGGAAACAAGGTGATATGTCAACACACGTCAACATGCCACCCACACGCATTGCTGCAGGCAGCTTCCTGTTAGCTTGTATCTCCAAGTAATTTGTTACCACTAACATTTTAAACAGCCTTGTTCCGAACAATGAGGGGAGTTTATTATGTATTTTCTACAAAGGTAAGACAGGGTGAGATGTCCTTTCTTAAACGCTAGCTTCACAGAAAGAAAGACGATTAAAAAATGCCCCAAGGACACTGCTTCAAACTATGATACTTCCTCAGGCGCAATATGGGCACCAGTTTGAACTTCAGTGGGTGAGAAAAAGCCACGTCATGCATATGCTTTCTTTCTTGCTCCCACATCCACTGGCTACAGAAATGTTCCAGAATGGGGAGGAAAGGATGACTAACACAACACTGTCACTCCAGCCCTTCAGTGCTCTGAGTCAGGAGTCCCCTGGGATGCTCTGGGCTCCGCTGCTGGATCTACACATTACATCTGCGCAGTGTCGCACGGTGCCTGGGCGTGACCACGGTGTCCATGTGGAGGTTGTGAGATACTGCCCACAACCTGTCAGCCTGGCTGTCAACCATACTGTGCCATTAGCTGTTCATTTTAAAATAATGTATTTCTAAAGTCCTTGCTGCACAACAGTTTGAACAGCTTTTGCAATGAAGCCCCCAAATTTTGAATAAGCATTGAAAACCCATAGTTCTGTTGACCTCATCGAGAGCTTCGAAGCTTCCTAGAAGTCAGGTCCCAGGTTGAAGGGTTTGATCCTGATGGGGCTCAAGGACTTTTGAAGTAAACTCACTATTTAGCTGGAGAAGGGGACATGAATTCCATTCATGTCATTAATTCAGGCTCAGTAATTGAAGCACGTGTGTAAGGGGTCTCTAGGGTCCAGGCTGCAGAGGATTCAGCAGAAGAGGTCCAGCAGTGCTGCTGATGCTTGGCTGTTATGTGCAGGACAGGATACCAAAGGCTACCCAGTGCATTGGAAGAATGACTGGGGCATGTGTTAACCCAGCTGTGCCAGCTTCCCTCAGCTAGCCCGGCTGACAGCAGCGAGGACGCATGGAAAGACAAGCTTTAGCTTGCATTTTAATGAGGGGCACATAGCCAGGATCTGTAGAAAGTTAAAACACACACAAAAAATTGTCCCGTTTGCCTGCATGGCTAAATCTCTCCCACACTGCCTTGCGCAGAAATCCACACAGGTACAGCATGCCAGTGCATGCGCATTCACATCTTCAATTTGCCAAGCAACACATCCCAAAGTGCCACCTCTGAGCATCTGCAAATGAAATAACAGCTATGTTTCAGCCTTGAAGATTTCAAAGCTGCAATGTGCATTCTGTGAGAGAGGGCAACAGCTATGTACTTTGAGTTCTTCACACACCCCAAAGTCATCATTTAACCACCACATGGTCTGAAATACAAATTCAGGATGAGAGCACAGAGTCCTACCTCAAGACTGAGATGCACTTGCAGCTGTGCTGGGTTGTTTACCCGTTGCTAGCTGGTATCAGAGAGAAGTTGCTATGAGCTTTACCTGCTGACAAATTCTTGAAAGGTAGTAATCTCTCACCCTCTCCCAGGAAGGCAGATAGTGTCAGAGGGCCTTGTGCTGTCACTCAGTCCTAGCAGAAAATAATACAGGGCTCCACAGGATTCCTGTAGGGATACACTGTGCTTCCAGAGAGGCTGGGAAGAGTATGTAGTAATCTTTCGGTGAAGAAAGAGCTCTCCTCTCTCTGACTGCTTCGTTCCTTCTCTCTGCAGCTGTGTATTCATGACAATTACAGAAACAACCCTTTTCATAATTTCCGGCATTGCTTCTGCGTGACCCAGATGATGTACAGCATGATCTCGCTCTGCAACCTCCAGGTATGCCCCCCACCTCAGTAGTATCACTCCTTTTCCGTCATGGGGCACATGTTCGTCCACTGAGCACCGTGACACCTGTGCCACTTTTCTTGCCAAACGGGCCACCAGCTTGTTAGGAAGCGATGAGCTTTGCAGTAGCTGCACTTGTTCAGTCCCTGGGGAGAGGAGGAGACGTGTTGCCTTTCCACCTCTGGCTACCAGCTCAGCCATCCCATCCCAGACCCCGTCCTGAGGCTGCTGGGAAGCCACCTTCACCTCGTGGATATCCCCAGTTTGTACACTGAAGCTCTTCTGACGCTTTGATAGCATGAAACTTCTGTGAGTCAGATCCAAAAGCCTGCTTACGCTCTGTGGATATGGTCTTCATCTGTGACACACAATGTTCCCACAAAAGATTTTCTCCAAATGTGTGCTTGCACCTGGGTGAGCTACTGCAGATAAAGCCTTGCATGTACAGTATGGAAGATTCACATTCGACCTGTACTTTGTCCAATACTATAGGCGTCATTAATTTTCATTGAGCGGATAACCTGTGTTTATATATGCATTTCATTTCCATACAAACAATTCGGTTAAAAACCCCCTTTCTTCTCCATAGTTAAACATCTCGGTGACTGCCCTATGTCTATTTTCTTGCCAGTAAGAGAATGAAGAAAAAGTTGCTTTAACGGAAGTTCATCCTATTCAGAAGCTGTGGGAACACAACACTTAATTTTTCTCACTCTTTTCATAACTTGATTTAATGCAGAATGCAATGGCATCTAAGCTGTTTTCCAGCCCTCCCTTAACTAATCACAATGATCAAATGACTCGTAAGAGACTGTACTAATATCTCAGTGCTTTTATATGATCTCTGCAGTAATAGCAAGTTTCAAGCAAATTACCTCCTCTGAGCTGCTGTTATTTAATGTAACAAAGGCAAATCTGAGTCATTTTTACTGGAAGAGAAGGCAGAATTCTCTTTCTTGACTGAAGTAAATTGATCTATGGAAAAATATTTCATTTTGCTCAGATCCGCATTTCTCTAAAAAATAAAAGTCAGTGGCTTTTTTACTTCATTAATGGGGACAGGGAAAGTAGAAATTGTAATACTACATTAATGTTTTGTATTTTACAGGAGAAATTTTCCCAACTTGACATCTTGATTCTTATGACTGCAGCAGTATGTCATGACTTGGACCATCCGGGCTATAACAACACGTAAGTCAGTCTCCCCCTTTCTCTTCCCCATAAAATTTTTGGGAAAGGTAATACCAGCAGGCATTTTTGGTAGATCAGGTTTTCCTGCTCACAGCTTGAGCTGGCCATGACCTTCCCCCAAGGCCCTGCTGTTCACTCACATGTGGGCCAAGGCAAGAGCTTCATGCAGAAAACTCAGGTCTGGGTTGGAATCACTAGCTGTCCTTGGCTCCATAAGGAAAATGCTTTTTGCAGATTCCTATTCCAACACTTTCCCCCGCTCCTGAGACAGCAAGGTAAAATGTTTTACAGATGAGAGAGAGGGCATAGATGATTATAGCGCCACTGAATGAAATGGAATAATTACACTAAAATGCAAAGGGTGATTTAATTTACACATTATTTCAGAATTATAAATCATGCAGTGCATATTATTCTATTTATTGTCATGTGATGAAATTAGAATTGTTGACCCATGGACACTTCTGTGTGCGCGTATGAGTGTGTGAAAAAGAGAGAGAGAGAATCTAATTTATTTGTATCCATTCATTAAATAAGGGCAGAAATCAGTTCTGACTGGGATCAGTGAGAATTTCTCTGTTGACATTAGTGGGGGTTGAATGAAGCCCAGACAGTTCCTTCTGTCTTTGTTTTATGTCATTTTAAGCTACAGAGACTTTGTAAAATTAAAAAAAAACTCTACAGGGGAATAGTGCCTGAGATTATATTAAAGTAATATCTATCTTCTCTAAAAGTCTGGTTTAGTGTTAACAATGAAAAAACAAACTGTAGCTAATTGAATAAGTATTGAAAAGAATGTAAATAAAAGTAAGCAGCATGGTTTAGAGCAGCTGGTGTGTGTCTGCAGGAGTTCTGAATGTTTTTCTTCACATCAGCTATCAGATAAATGCACGAACTGAGCTTGCGGTACGCTACAATGACATCTCCCCACTGGAGAACCACCACTGTGCTGTGGCTTTCCAGATCATTTCCCAGCCAGAATACAACATTTTCTCCAATGTCGACCAGGACCAATTCAAACAGATAAGACAGGTATGAATGTTGCTCTTATCTGTGTCGTACAAACTGTTCCTGAAGATGTAAGCACGCACAGACTTCACTGCTGTACAATGCGAGTGAATCATTCTCCCTAGAGGGTAGGACTGAAAAAGCCCCTCACACAGGAAGAATCCAAGAGGGATTCTTGGAAAATTTCCACAGCAGCACCCCCGGAATGTCTTGCTGAGCAATAATGAGTACATCTTGACTATTAAAGCCTATGACATTTTGGGGGTAGATATTTACATTATTGAAAGAGTCCATTAGCTCTGACTGAGAAAGGATTAAGCTCTTATGGCAGAAGTTTATGCTTTGAGAGAACATTGTATTAATTTTAAAAAGGGCTTCAAAATGGGAAAAGATTTATGACAGCAGAGCACTTGTACTGTTGGAAGAGGCTCTGGTGGACTGAGAGTCATCAGAGTTATCTCCGAGACAGTAAGAAACACTACAATTCCCATCAGAGCACTAAGCCCCAAAATTGGTCTTAGTTTCTACATTACACCTTGCTTACACACCGAATGAAAAAGCAGACCAATGTAAGGGCTCAGATACTGGTCTGGCTGGAGTTCCTGATTCTGCCAACGCATGGGAAACAGGCATGGGTCCAAAATAGACATCTGCATGAAAACTTGCACCTTGAATTTCCCATCATAAACTGTGCTTAGTGGGAGGGTACAGAGCTCCTAACACATTGGCTGCATCTGGGTATTTGAAAGCCCTTAATCCAGGGAGGATGAGCGTGGAGGACATCCACATCTACTGATTTTTGTCTCTTCCTAGAGCCCCTGAGAGTCAGCAGTAAAACCTGTAGTGCTTTCCAAGGGGCCAAGAGCGAATCTTGGCAAACCTAGTGTGGCTTTTAACATCCTGTTTTACAGTTTGTTTTTTCACAATTAGTCAATCAGAAGGGGAAAATCTCAGTGCCTCTGGGATATCACACCAGTGTTACAGATCAATCCAGCCATGATCTTCACATACCACGAACTCTTTATAACCCTGTTCCAGTTTGCTTGGCAGTTTCAAGTCAGAAACTTCCCCTTTCATTATTAACAGTGTAACGCATCTGAGGCTTAAAGACCCTACTTTATTCTGCAATAATAGACTTTGTAAAGAATGTCAAGTTAATACGTGAACATGTTTTCTTTGCTAGGGGATAATTACGTTAATCCTGGCTACAGACATGGCGAGACATGCAGAAATACTGGACTCTTTCAAGGAAAAAATGGAAAATTTTGATTATTCAAATGAAGAGCATGTGACCTGTGTAAGAAGATTTTGTGGATTATTATTTTTCTGTGCATAGTGTGAAAGTTTGTAGACTAACATGTGTTTGTTTAAAACACAAGATTCAATATACATTATCAAAAAAGAATCCTTCCTACATCCTCTGCCACACCAAAGAGAATTACAGTTTGGAAGTGCTCTCTATAAAATAGATTATTCCAGCTTTAGAAATTCTGGAGTTCCATCAGGAAAAAAATTATATTTACTCTGCCAGGTCACAAATTCTTATTGTCCACTACTGTGGAACAAGAGGTATCCACAAGAACACAAATTATAGTATTCCCTACTTACCAATCCAGTCATCTTTGACATCCATGGAAGTCTTTCTTCAGCTACCTCTGAGTGCTCCACAAACAACTTCAAGGTCATTTGTGGCTGAACCTCTTTAGGCAGCAGAGAAGTGCACATCCCACTGTGACACATCCCAGTGCTACAGACGGGGAGACCGAGGCAGGGAGGGGTTAAGTGATTTACACAGAGTAGCTGAGAGACTGGAAGAATCCAGATCACTGAAGTCCTCTGGTTTGATCTTTCTGTTTGAAAACATTGCTTCCCACTGCATTGTAAAGACACGGGTTCTGGACGGGGGAAAAAGGGCTGGCATTAAAACTGCAGCATTAAAGTATTATCCCGTTTCAGCTGAAGATGGTGCTGATAAAATGCTGTGATATCTCCAATGAAGTCCGCCCGATGGAAGTAGCAGAGCCCTGGGTAGATTGCCTGCTAGAGGAGTATTTTATGCAGGTAAGAATGAGGGAGAGATGCAACTGCACAGATTGCTGCTCTCCCTGACTCCCACCCCAGCTGCAGGTGCGCTGCTGTCTGACACCCCAGTCTAGCTCTAGGATGGAAAGGCTTCTTTTACACAAAGCTGGAGAAGGATGTCAGCAAGAGAAGCTGTTCAGAAAACAAGTGAGTGCAATTGACTGCAATTTGCAGATGAAAGACAATAGCAACCTAGAAATCCTAATGCTAGCAGACTGAAGCTTGTTCTCTGTAAAGCAGCTGCCTTGCAAGTTTGTTTGACATATAAATGATTTTTGAGCCAAAAGGGCAAGACCAGCAGCAAGAAACAGTTGTCAAATAAATTCTATCAAATACTACATGGGAACTAGTTCAGACAGTTTTCACTTCATGAGAACACTCCCCTAAAGAGAAAGCAGAAGACTTGCTGAGGTGTGCGCATTCAGCCTCTAAGCTCCACAAACTGTTGCTCCTCACTGGATTCCCAGCTGAACACAGTCTCTGATTGCTTAAAAAAGGATCCCTGGAATAGTAGCCCTCAGCTGCCTCTGTCACACCGGCTCCCAAGCAGTGTGTATGTGCTGCAGCACTGGGGTCTCAAGTGACACACAACTGGAGCACTCTGAGGAGGAGATGCCAGAGCTTTCTTGTGTGTTCTGTCTATACTATTATAGGATGCATGCCAAGGAGGGCTTCTCATAAGAGACAGACATCTCAGATGATGTGTCAGAAACACTCCTAGCTCACTGTATCTGCAGCTTTCTACTCAAAAGTACAGTACCTCCGTGCTTTACGGTTTTGGCCATCCAGCAAAGGCACTATGTGCTGAAAGACCCAATAATTAAGATATAAAGTCTTCTACAGGACATCTTTTTTGCACATGCAGTCTGTGACCTCCTTGCGTGTGAACCCACATAGAAACAGTGAGTTATGTGGTCAAGTAGGTAGCTCAGTAAACTCTTTGCACTCAATGGAACTATTCTCCACTGACCTAGCTAGCCAGAACTAGCTTTAATCATTAGTGAAGAAAAGGTGATGTAATTTCTGGTTGAATACCCAAAAATAATCACTCTCTGAAGAATGATGAGGAAATCAAAGACCTCTTCCTTCTCTTCCAGAGTGGCAAGAGCCATTACCACCTTTCTGAATGCTCTGAAATATTTTACCTCACAAGTCCCATGGGTTTGCAAAGGGAATCAGGTGGCCTCATTGCCCAGTAAGCCTGGAGGTGAACACTTTCATGCAGGTGCTGTGCAGGACTAACTGAAGAGAGTTCTTGTTATTCAGATGCTTGCTCTCAACAAACCAGGATACATTGGCCCGAGGGAAGTGTATTGCCATTCTGTGCTATACCTTCAGACACCACTACATCTGTATCTGAAGGCTACTGCTCTTTAGCTAGTGATCTGTTTGGTACATTACTCTCCTCACAGACTTCTAGTTGAGATTAATATTTGTTAACTCTGGATTTGTTCCAGAGCGACCGAGAAAAATCTGAGGGGCTTCCAGTGGCACCGTTCATGGACCGCGACAAAGTGACCAAGCCGACAGCACAGATTGGCTTCCTGAAGTTTGTTCTCATCCCCATGTTCGAAACAGTAACAAAGGTAAGTGGCCCAAGGCCAGAAGCAGAAGTGGGGGCGTGCAGAGCTTTGGTGTTTGCTCTGTCAGGTGTTTTGTTAGCCAGCAAAATGGAGATGTACAGTTCACACCCTTCTTTCACCCCATTTCTAGCATGTACAAGTTCATGCATACAAAAGTAAATGTTGATATTCTCACTCTTGTTTTCACCTAGCTGTTCCCAGAAGTGGAGGAGGTGATGCTCCAGCCCCTTTGGGAATCCAGAGACCACTATGAGGAATTAAAACAGATAGATGATGCTATGAAAGAGGTAAGCTCTAAAAATCTCTTTGGTAAAGTAAACATTATGATTGAATAAGTCAAATACTATAATTTAATAGCAGCTTAATTCCAAAACAGTAGGAATGCTTATGGCATAGTCATAATAGTGAGAAACACATTCATTCTGCCTGGCTGGAGAAAGGCATGTACCACGAGCAGTACCACAAGCAGTAAGCACGCACAAGAGCATGCCCTTTGGCAGAGCTGCCCAGGCACGACAGCTGTGGTAAGAGAGCTGATTGCAAGAGAGGGACCTCAAGACAAAACCCATGGAGAACCACCTGGGGGAGGGTGTTAGCAAACACCTCTTCCTGGAGGGAGCTGCCTGCCCCTGGGGAGGAGCTAGCCTGGGCTAGATCTCAGCAAAATGTCCTGGGGCTGGGCAGTTCAAGGGACTGCACCACCACTGCAAAGGTTTATTTTCTGCGAAGAAACTTCCCCTCATGTGTCTATCATCAAGGAAGTGCTTGAAATTTTATGAGGAATTGCTCTCTCATACACAGCACCCAGTAGGGTTAAACACACAACCAATGAAGCCGTTTTACGGCCCAGGCTAGGTGGGGACCTCCATTTACAGAGTGCGTCTCATTTTGACACGTAAGGCTCAGGGGAGGCAGGATATACATGCAGACACGTTTGCTGTCTCCAGCCAGGTCTGCGTTGCCTCAGGAGCGTGACAGGGCAGAGACCGAGGGCCGTCCCCAGGACCGGTTGCCCCACGCCAGCAGTGTGGCAGCCGGCGTGCCCAGCTCCTGCAGTGCCCTGCAGCCTGTCACACTGGGCCCATGCGCCTTCTGTGTCGAGGCAGTGTAGGGGTTTTCTGACATGAACAAATTTATCGTGTAGACAGAACACTATCAGACATTCCGTCATTAAAATAAATTGTGACGTGCCCTGGAGCACCAGTAGTGCCGATATTGTTTGGTATGTGGGAAATAAAGGTTCTTTCACGTGATCATCCTTGGCGGGGTGAGGGGAATAGTAGCTTTCTGGTGTGGCTCCCACCTCCTCCCAAGCGGCTTGGAGGAAAAGCCTCTCAGCAGCACAAATAGTAAGGCTGATTAATCAAAGAGCACATGCTTAGATAGCACTAAATTATAAAGTAGAAGAAAGTCTTTTAGGCGTTCTTCAGTTTAGAGTGGAGCATTTCTCAAAGGAGGGAAGAAGAACTCAAATATGACTGCCAGACTTTCAGAGTCCTATTCACCTCTCAAGCCGAGCCTAGATTTTACTTCTGGTTTACTGAAGCTGTCATGAGAGGAAAATTATACAAACTGATGGAGCTTTAATTATGGTGTATTGGCACAAGAGATCTTAGGAAAACAGAAGCTGCCTGAATTCAGAAATATGCTGAAACAAGAGGATTAGTTAATAATCTTAGAGCCTAGTACAGCAGATGATGAGAAACACCGAGTGCTGCTAACTCAGGACATACATCCAGAGCTGTTGGGATTAAACGGTGCCTGTGATATACCACGCTGCTGCCTATTATTTCTCAAAAAATGTCACACATGCCTTGTGGAGAGACGAGCATTCAACTCACAGCAGCAGTGGAAAGCAGCACGGTGTGTCACGGGTATTAATCCTGCTTTGCTCTTCATTGCAGTTGCAGAAAAAGAAAAGTGAAAGTTTGACCACCAGCAGTACCGAAAAGTGAGATGAAAAAGACTTCGAGTAAAACATAAGCCCTAAGGTTATTTTGGTTTTGAGAAATACTGCATTTGCCAAACAGACATGGTGGCTACGTCAAAATCCAGCTGGGACCATGTACACGGAGGGGCGGCGGGCAGGGATGCCCTGCCTGCCTGCCTGCCCGCCTGGGCGCCTTGTCTACAGCCTGCAACCTGCTCGCGCACGCGCTGCCACCGCCGGGCACCAAGGGCCCGCCCCGGCCCCGGCCACTGCCGGGCACCAAGGGCTGCCCTCGCCCCGGCATGCCCACCGCACCCTGCCGGCAGGACCTCCCCTGCGGACGTTGCACAGGTTGCAGCACGGCTCAAATCTTCAGCAGATTTGCCATTTTGGTGACCACACTGACCGCAGTCTATAGAGACGAAGTGGAGTTTAGCTAAGGAGCCTTTTCTGGAGAATGACCCAATGGTGTCCAAAAACAAAAGAAGAAGCTGTCTTAGTCAAGATACTCTATACCTGTGTACAGCAGTATGCTAATTACAGCATAGCTTACAGATGCTCATATTCTGACAGGGGTCCTGGCATATATTTTGTTTGCCTAGTACGCCCCAATGACACATTTCTCTGTATTATTCCCTGAATTTTATAGTGCTCACAGTACATGCAGAAGCCCAGCATAGTGGATGCAATTAATTTTTTTCTACACTAGAAGAAATCAGAAGAAACCTTAGTGAGTTTGCGGGTTCGCTTTGTGGCCTGGTACAGCTAGGCATGATGGGATCCTTCAGCACGAGCAAAGGAGGGAGCACAAAGCCGAAACCACTCAGCAAGCATATTTTTATCGTCGTGGATGCAAAAAGCGAAAACAAGAAGAACCTTCAAAGATGTACAGATTTTTTTTTTTACTTTTAAACTGATCTGCCAAATAATATATTCTTCTACAGAAATGAGTGTTGTACTTGTTTTCTTTTGCATATGCGTTCACGTGAGAACTGTTTCTGTTCCTGAAGACGAGTGCTTTCATAGTGAATACAAGGTAAGGGGCTGTGAAGAAGAGGGGAGGGTTGGTTCTCCTTAAGAGGAGAAGCTTTAGAAACATTTTTTTGTGGCATACTTGCACCATGAGCTCAACACCAACAGAGATTCGCTTCCCTTGATGGCTCTGCAGGGGTTGGGAGCCCAGCTCTGCCCGGCGTCGCAGTCGTGCGCATGGGCAGCCGGCAATACCGTGATCGACTGCTGCACCCCGCCTCGCCACAGGGGAGGCCGGAAGAAATCCCCCTTCCTCATGCCTCTGAGCGAAGAGGCATGGGCGGGCTGTTT